AACGGTGGGCTCCCCATAGAGATATGTCTCCTGGAACCTGTGAATATGACCTCATTTGGAAAAATGGTCTTTGCAGATATAATCAAGGATCTGGAGATGAGATCTAGATTCCTCTGTGGTCTGTCACAATCAACAATGTGGCACAGCGCCGTCCAGTGGAATTCCTGTGACAGTGGATTGTCCCCGTCTGCTCCATCCAATGTGGTAGCCGCTGGCCCTATTTGACTACTGAGCCCTTGAAGTGTGGCCGGTGTGAACAACTAACTAGAATCTTAATTGTATTTAGTTATAATTAATATCAGTCTTAACAGCTGCATGGCTATAGGCAAGTTCATCAGACAGATCCAGCCGAGAATGTGCCCACGAAGCCAGGAGGACGCAAAACCTACTCCTCAGCAGCCAAAGTGGGAATTATATTATGGATGTACAGAAACCACTTTACTCATAAAGGATCCCTCAGACTCTCACAAAGACTGTAAAGAATCTATGTGTGATTATTTTTTACACATTTCTAACAAATCTTATTATATGGTTTCCAGCCAAACAATAAAAAAAAAAAGTTGCAAATTAAATTTTGAGACAGGAGTTGGCATGCCAACAAGAAGACATAAAACTATACCCCGGCAGCTAGGGAAGAGAAAAAAAATGGAAATTTCATATTATTCTTTAGATTGTGTTCTGCAGGACGTGAAGGTCTTGCAAAGTTTGAGAAATGATAAACATGTCAGTCCCTCTCGAAGATGCAATTAGCATATGAATGCTCTGAGAATCTTGTATAGAAAGTGATTTAACTTAGTTTAAACCAGGGTTTCCAGCCAGGGAAACTGTTTTAAGAACTTTTGTAAAAAAAAAATGAATCACAGTTTTGGAAATGCTCAAGTAGACTACTGAACTTGAAAGGACAAGTCAGGAGACTTTTACTGTGTGTTAAACGTGTCTCAAATCTCACAGAAGCTTTATCAGAAAGTTTTATCAATTTTGCTAAACAAATGTTGATCCTATTGAAATTGTTTCAAAGCCCACAGACCAAGCAAGCAGTTGCTAAGACAACAGAGACCTGAACAAGGATTATTTAGCATTGGGAAATTAATGCAGATGGTTTGTAATGCTAGACACGCAAAGCGAAAAACAATATGATCCTATTGATAGGTGCCACGATGGCAGTTGATAAAATTAAAGATCAAAATATTTAGTAAAATAGGAAGGAGAGAAAGAAAATTTCTTAGCAAAATACAAATAATAATCTGGTGCCAAAATCAAATGCCACACTCAGTGACTGTGAAGGATGCTGCCTTCCAACAAGAGACTCACTGAGCTACATTAGGACTAACACGAGCCCTGACACTTTTGCCTTTGTGGGCTCCTTATTCCATAATAAAACACAAATACATAAAAAAATTATAGTTTTATGCCTGCATTGTATAAAAGTTAATATAATCCAGGCTAGGCTACATGTATTTTTTTCTTCTGATCCCCAAAAGAAATCAAAACATTTCCCCGGCCCCTTGATTGCATTGTGGCCTAAACACAGCTTCCCATGTGCATGGAGAAGCCCGCCCGGATGCCGAGCATCTGCCCAGCTGCTGAGAGCACAGGCGCCTCCGGCTGCAGCCCCTTCAGGAAATGCTTCAGCTAAAGACAGTCCCTGGCCCAAGGTCTCGCCCCTTCGTAGGGTGGCCCAACCCAATGTCTCATCGATGCAGGCCTCGAAAGGCCTGGCCGTCTTGGTGGACAGTCTGGAGAACCGTCCAGCTCCGGAGGCCCCTGTTGGTCGAGGCTGGGTCTCCATCTCAGCCCGACTTCTCCCTCTGCCCACTCCCACTGCTAGCCTCCCCTTCCTCAGGGTTGGATCCCAAATGCGCTCACAAATGAACACCCTGTGTTAAGCTCCATCTCAGAGTCCTCTCCCCGGGAGACCAAGCCGAGACTGCAGCACGCTACGAAGGAAACATGCGACAGGTTTCCGTGTTATTGTGTGCGCAGCTCAAAAACAGGCAAGACAAGCCGCATCACTGCGGGACGCATGCACACACTGCGAAATTAACAGAGAGTGGGGGTGCTCTCATCGCAGCCGGAACAGGGGTCACCTCAAGCAGGGGGCACACGGTGAGTTTCTGGGGTGCAGCCCACACCCCTTTCCTTGGCCTCTGTGGAGTTCCAGGGGTGTTTGCCTTATGACTATTTCGTCAGCTGCACATGGGTGCTGTGTGCGGTCCCCGGGAATGATACATCTTGCATTAAAGAGGGAAAAGACTTAACTCCCAAAGAGTACACTCATTGTCACCACTATTGTCTCTGTCATTCCAGTGGTGGTGCTGGCCACCACTCGCTCCCTGCAATGAGCAGGAAGACGGAAGGATCATTTATCCGGGTCTCCTGTCATCATAAACTCTGAGAGCTGTGCGTGGCTGCAGCTTCAGGGCAGTCATGTTCCAGAACGTTCTCACCCGCGTGTCCGATGCAGTGGGATTGTAGGTGAGATCAATGTGGGTGAGGATTATAGCAACGGAGCTTCTCGCAGGTGGTCTGGCGAAGTCACGGGCTCCCCTCCGAACCTGCGACAGGTTCTGCAAACGACGAAGGGAGGTCCCTCGTTACCTGCTCTTCCTAGCAGCGGGATGTAGGAGCCCACCTTTCAGGATGGCAGTTTCCCGTCAAATGACCCACTCTGTGACATTAACAGACATTCTCCCTTCTCTAAGATTTGTATTCAGTTAAAGAAGAAGTAGACATCAAAATGTCCCAGCATAAATGGGACTTGGAGCTGAACCTAAACTCTTCCATAGATCAGTGGCTTGAGGGAATTTCAACCCTAGGAAACAGAGTTGCTTAGAAAGTTCCTCGCTGTAATCCTCAAGCTATCAGGAAGGTTAGTAAAAGCCTTACCCTCCGGTAAAGAGAGAAGCCACAACCCTAAAGGTGACGATCCTGCTCACGGCCATTTCCAAGTTGTGGCCAAGCAGTGTGGCACTGTCGGACCTCTCCGGGGCACACTGATCCATTAGGCTCCGCTGGCAGCACAGTAGGTTGCTGTAAAAGCCGTGACCGACAGCACAAAGCAGGCACCTGGAAAATGCAAAACCACTGCCCTCCAAAAAGCAGAGAAGGAAAGTAATTTAGCCAAAGTCCCTCTTCCAGAACCATTTAGAAATCTCTCTGCCTTCATACTTGCATTAATACTTATTTGACTTCTCTTTGGCCTCTTAAAACTATAAAGCTAGATCCAAAACTTATTCTCTGAAATAAGTTGGTAGTTCTTTTCAGACCTCAGAAAAACCATCAGATTTGGGATGTTCATTGAAAGAAGGTGCCTCCACCTGCTTCCTTTCCTGCCTACCTGCCCCAGAGCCCCATCCCCGGTCACTCCCACTCGCACCCAGCCCCGCACTGGCATGGGTAGGAAACCAACATTCCTTAGCCACCATCGCACTTATGCCAAGCACTCTGCCAGGTGCTTCTACCTAGCTCGTTTTATCTAATCCCCATAACTCTCCGAGAAGGTACTATTCCCATTTTACAGATGACATAACTGAGGCTCAGATATATTGACCAAGATGGCCTTGGTTGCAAGCTGCAGAATTAGGACTTCAATACAGGTGTGTGTCTCCTTTGTTAGGACAGTGGAAGGATACACTGTACGTAAGCTGACCAGCACCGTCTCTGCTCGAGGGATGAGCAGTGTTATTGTTATGGCTCATTTTACCACCACCTGCAGGAAGCGCATTACCCTGGGATTCACCTCCCAGTCCCTTGACATCAGCCAAGGCACTGTCATTCAATCGGAGCAGCCGTGAGGCCCACTGATACCCTGAGAAGAGTCCATAATGGACAAAGGACAAAAAAGGACAGCTTACAGAAAAAAAGTTAAACAATGGCTATTAAACCTATAAAAATATGCTCAACATAATAAGAAAAACTGAAATAAGAGTTTACCTATCGGAGTAGCAAAGAGCAACGATTCTGATAACACATTGTGTCGAGGAGAACACCACTTACAGGACTATCAATTGGTGGATAGATGGACCCCCTGCCCTCCAGGGTGGGCAGTTTGGCAACATCCATCAAATATTATGGGATATGCCCTTTGGCCCAGCAATTCTCTACCCACGAATTAATCCTGCCCGCCTATTCACACATTCGCAATATGCTGTATGTATGAGGGGATGTCATAAGGTTTGTGGGAAAAGGGAATTAAGAGATAAAAATAAAAATGTAAACTCTATTTCTCAACATAAGCTGCATCAAGTTCAAGACACTTCTATACGCGACAATTGGTCTATCCCCAAAAAGTGAGGGTCCCGGGAATTTAACCATGCCAATGCTGTCTCTTTTACATTATTAAAAGAAAAATGGGTGCCCTTTAAAGGTTTTATAAGATTAGGAAACGAAAAGGAGTCGAAAGGAGCCAACTCAGGACTGTAAGGTGGATGCCTGAAGATTTCCCACCGGAACTCTCTCGCAAAATTGCCCTTGTCTGGTGAGAGGAGTGAGCAGGAGCACGGTCGTGGTGGAAGACTCTCTGGTGAAGATTTCCAGAGCATTCTGCCGCTAAAGCTCTGTGTAACTTTCTCAAGACACTCTCGTAATAAGCAGATGTTATCGTTCTTTGGCCTTTCAGAAAGTCAACATGCTACATCTTTTCCCCTTAAATGTTTTTATTCAAGTTCTGTCTCTCCTTCATCATTGCATATCGCTGTCAGATCATGAGCAGGATGGTGAAGGGCCAACTTTGGGCCCTTGATCAAGGTGAGGCTAGAGAAGTGACAGACACCATGACGGACCAGTGGCTTAATGTCATGGCTACTAGAAGCAGTGAGCACCACTTTGAGCAGCCTCTCCCTGGGGAAGGGAAACTAGTGAAATGACGTGCTTAAGGTAGTTGGTTATGAGTCCAAACTTATCTTGGAAGAAATTCTGAATATTAATTTTCACAATAATTTTTACAAAAGTCTTACTAACGAATGTTTTTCTTTACAAAACTAAATAATCAAAGTGGGGTGCTAGTGTTTCCGCAATAGACTCTGAAGTAGAATAGACAGACTGAAAACATACCCGAAGATGTAGACCCACACAGCAACCTCAGAAATAAGTATTGTCGTTCCCATTTTACAGATGTGGACACTGAGGCTGACAGAGGTTACGTAGTTGGTCCCAGGTTACAGAGCGGTGTAAGCAAAAGTGGAGCCCAGTCAAGGCAAGAGCCCTCAGCCATTACACCACATCAAACTCAGGTTTTGTGGGGCTTGAAGCTTATAAAACTATAAAGTCAGATATAAAAGTTTATTTAGAACAGTTTCTCAATCTCAGCACTAGAACAGATAATTGGGCCAGAAAATTCTTTGTTGTGGAGGGTTGTCCCGGGAAGCGCAGGATGTTTAACAGCGTCCCTCACCTGCGGCCATGAGGAGTTAGTAGCGCACATGAGGAAGCAAAACCGCCCTCAGTGGAGGACAACTGATGCGTACTGAAAAAAGAAATCACAACAGGTTACAAAGTCTCTGAAAGTTTACAAGCACTATAATATCAGAAAATCCCAGTGTTCTAATCCATTCACAGCTCCATGCTCCTCTCCGCTACACTTTTCCTTCTTTTTTCCCCTAATACTCTTTGATCATTTCTTCATATGCCAACAAGCAGATAATATTATTTTCTGCAGAGATGATAGGAGATAATTCTCCTTCTTCTAACACGGTTGGTCTAAATTTTTTTTTTTTTTTTAATGGTGACAGGTGAGAGACTTCACACCCAGGTGAACTGATCTATACAAGTACCTACAGGTTACAGGTGCTTGGGCCCTGAAGCTCATCTATTCGATGTCCAGTTCCAGCTCTACTAGTTATTCTGCGGCTGGCCCTGTACACGTTACATCTCCACACCCCTCCAGCCTCATTTTTCACTCTGTAAAATGTGAGTAGTAACAATGTCAGCCTTGCAGAACTGTCGCGGGGGTGAAGGGACATAACATACGTGGTGTCCCAGCCCGGGGCACTGTAAGCCCAGGGCACACAGCTGGAACCATGCTGAGGGAAAGCTGTTGCCATCACCACCTTCACGACCGCCGTTGGCTTGGTCTTGGTTTGCACGTACACGTTCTTAAGCACACTGGCTTCAACTCCAGACTCTTGTGAGCAAAAGGGGCCCGCATTCCTTCAGAGACGATCAGAGACCATCAGGCGCAATGCTACTTACAGCAAACAACTACCGACCGCTTCTGGTAGAAGAGACATTTTTATGTGGCTAATTATATTAATAATTTCAGAGGGATGGCTGCAAATGGAGAACATAACATTTTCATAATAAATCCAGGTATGTGGTACAAATACTCCTTTGGAACTGGAGAAATAAGTAGGTATGGAAATGGGAAATTATTACTTCTTTTCTGTGAAATACTTCCAAAACTATAGAATTAAGAAAATTCATAAAGGGTTCTCAAATATATATTCCATTCAGCAATAGAAAAACGTCTGAGGTATAAGAAAAACATTTATAAGGTAGAAGATAAGAAAGTTAAGTGCGAATTCCTAAAGAACCTAAAATCTGTGCATTTTATAATGATGGTAAGAAATAATTTTGACAAATGAGAGAGACACAGAGAATTCTTATTTCTTACAAGAGATAAGAACATTAGAAGCAATAGTGAAAATAGTTGAGTATAAAAAGATAAAGAAGTTATAACACTATTAACTTAAAAGCTAATTCTAGGACTAGATGCACCAAAACTTTTCAAGAAACAGAACATAATGTCTTCTGTGCTTTAGAACTTAGCCCAGGAAACCATGGGAGGAGAGAGAGACGGAACTTCGAAGGGACGATGAAAGAAAGGGGTGGCGTCCTGGAGCATTTCTAAGGTGGGATATTTAAAAAAATGGTTTAGCAAATTATCAATTAACCTGATGGCTCCTGCTTTAAAATTATTCACACATAATAACAGAAGGGCTGATCCCTGAATCTCCAGAGAAAGCTGTCCTGAGAGTTTTCAGATCCATAAATAATGGGGTTGATTAAAAATAGGTCATCTGAATCAATCTAACTGCCTTCTCTTTTTAATGTAAACTCTTTTCATTGATTTTTAAAATGGATATCCCATTAAAACACATTAATCATGACCCTAAAAGTGTATTTCTTTTACAAAAAGCCTAAGGTGAAGAATAAAAAGCAATTCCCCACCACATGAAACTGGGGCAAGAACATCACCAAAGAGAACTGCAGCCCTATTTTTCCTAGGGAAAAAAAAAAAAAAAAATTCTGGGTAAAAGCTGAGAGGCGAAGTATAATGATGATAAAACATTGTCCGGCCGTATGACAGAGGTTTTAGGATGTTTGGAGCCCTGCGTGTCTTACTTGGCTAAAAGGTCTCTAGTTTTGTAGAGGCAAGGCAGAACACTCATGATTGGTCTTCTCTGTTACTTATTACATGAGTAATGCACTCCCATAATTGCATACTACATGCCCATTCTAGAAAATGTAGCTAAGGAAAACTAATATTAAAAATAATCCATGGTACCATGATCCAGAGATAACCCTGGAAACGTTTCACTGTACACATACTCAAACTTTTGAAACACATACTGTAGATCTTTAGCTGCAGATATATATGTAATGCACATGTTCAGAATACCCTTTTATATCAAAAAGATCATATACTTGCTAGATGCCAATAAATACAGTTCTTCAAAATTGCTGTTAATTGAACACAGATACGTATCGCCCTTTACTCTGCCACCCGTCCAGGCCTGGGCACGATAAACAGTGCTTCACTAACGCTCCTCAGCTAAATCCTTGCCGGCATCCTTAGTTACTTACGATAGATTTCAAAAAGCAGACTCATTAAATCAAAGCATAGACACGTTTTAAAGGCTCTTTCTACATACCACCAAATTGACCTCTGGAAACACTGTACAAATTTATGCTTTTCTGAAGTATAAGAAAATATTCACCTCTTCACGCCCTCGTAACATTTGTCATTGTTCTTTATCTTTACTTATTTGATAGGTTTTAAATGATGATTCATAGCTTTTAATTTAGTTTTCAAGGCAGAAAATTGTATATGTTTATGGGCCATTTATATTCCATCTTTTATTGATGCCAATTTATGAATTTTCCTCTTTTCCCTTTTGGGGTTTTCATGTTCCTCCTCGTATGTTCTTATTACTAGCCTTTTGTAATATATAATGCACTACTTTCTCCATTTTGTTGTTTATCTATTAAATCTGTCTTGGGCATTTTGTCATAAAGAAATATTTCATTTCTATGTATTCATATTATTAAAAATATATTTTCTTTATATTTTTGAAAGATATTAAAGATGACCTAAATTATGGGAAAGATACGCCATGCTAATGAATTAGAAAACTCGGTATCATAAAAATGTCAATTTTCCCCAATTGATCTATAAATTCAAAGTAATTCTAATCAAAATGTCAACAGAGCTTTGTGAAACTAACAAGCTGGTTATAAAATGTTTCTGGAAAAAGCAAAGGTCAAGAATATCCTTAACACTGCTCAGGAAGGGAATAAGGGGAGGGGATTTACTCAGCTAGAAATATTTTAAGAATAAATACATATGATACATGCAATGCATACAAATATTTTAAGAAGGACTGAGAGATCTCCTAAGAAATATCAACAACTCTCTAAGTAGATCATAGATACCTCACATTGCCTTTCTATTAACTCTGAGCGACATCAGTCCAAGTCACTTACAGAGTTAGTCTAGATCTAGCAGGAAGTCTTGGCAATGGCCTGGCCTCTCTTTTAATTGGCCAAAATAAAATACAATGTTGTTCTATTACCCATAACTATTTGGACTAAGAAATTTAAAGGGGCTTGATCAAATTCACATTATGCTACAAATCCACATCAGTGGCATTAATGATAGACATGGCTATCATTTAGGTCTTTCTAAGAGTTTGCAAGGCAACCAGTCCTTCAAATTGACTTCAAATTGTCCTTCACATTTATTCACAAGCAATGGCTTAGGAGAACTGCATTATAAAGTTGGAACGATTGCCTCTACTAAAGCCTAGCACTGGGCAAGAAAAGCAATTATCACCTAGCCCGCCTGGTATCATCCCCCTTTATTCGTTTGTGAGATAACATGGGAAAAAAGCTTTAAATCAGGATTTCGTGTTGAATTACTCAAAGATTGGTTGAGGGCACGGATCTTTTTTGAAGTAACAGAACACAAGTATGAGATTCGGCTTCACTGGGTAAGGTTGCTGAGTTAAGTGTGTTACATAAGAATATGGTAATATGCAAAGGGGAGAGTAACAATCATTCATAATTAATTAATTAACAGAAGAATATTAGGTGGTTTCTATTAGCAATAGGGATTTTCTACATATGTTAATGTCAGATTTAAAGGTAATCTTAGTACAAGACCTAAAGATGCCCTAATTTAGTGGAGGCCTGTAATTGCTTGGATATGCAAGGCTAAGCCTTGGGTGCACATTATGCTACAAGGGATCAAGGGATAGGCTAAAAAGGACACTGAGTTTTTGATGTGTCCCGTGTCACTGGGGTAATACTCCCCAAAACAGCACTGTCCACTAAAGTAGGATGTGAGCCACACACGAAATTTAAAAATTTTAATATCCACATTTTTAAAAGGTAAAACGAAATAGGTGAAGACATTTTAAACATTTTATTTGACACAATTTATCTAAAATATTGACAGCCCAACATTTAGCCAATGTTGAAAATTATTAATGAGCTATGTTTCATTCATTTTTACATACTTTGACTTCAAAATCCAGTGTGTACTTCATACTTAGAGCCATCTCAACGTAGTTCAAGCTGTCAGCCCTGCAGCATAGCCTACTCTCTCATGAACACGCAAGAAATTATAATAATCTGGGGAGAATACATCTGCACACTTATGGGCTCTGCTCAGATTAACTGCTCTATGGTCCATGGAGCATTTTGCCTATAATGATTATGGGCCCATGGCTTATTCTTTGCTTATTTTTTGAAGTGCTCATAGTATGGAAACACTAATGTCTGGATCAGTTAAAATCTAATAATATGTAGATACTTTTTTTTTAATTTCTAAAATAATCTTCCCATAGTACATTTTCTCTGGTGGCTCCACTGGCAAAGAAAATTCTACCTATTGAATATTGTAGAATGTGATGGTTAATTTTATGTGTCAACTTGACTGGGCTAATGGGTGCCCAGATAGCTGGTGAAACATTATTTCTGGGTGTGTTTATGAGGGTGTTTCTGGCAGCATTTGAATAGGCAGACTGAGTGAAGAAAATCACCCTCACCAGTGTGTGGGGGCACCTTCCAATCTGTCAAGGACCACAAAGTAGAAAAAACAGGTGGAGGAAGGATGAGTTTGCTCTTTCTGCCTGAGCTGGAACATCTATCTTCTCCTGCCCTTACACTGGAGCTCAGGGCTCTCCAGCCTTTTCTCTCTGATGCCACTCACCCTCCTCATCCTCAGGCCTTGGAGTGTGGACTGAAACTACAGCATGGGCTGTCCTGGACCTCCAGCTTCCAGACGGCAGATCATGGTAACCTCATGAGCCAGCTCTCACAATAAATTTCTATGTCTCTATCATACTGGTTCTGTGTCTTTGGAGAACTCTAATACATAAAGGTCGTGTCCTAGAAGGAAAAAAAAAAACAAAGAGTATTCTTAGGATGATATCATGTTAGAACTTGGGAAAAAGCTAGGTATTATCACAAACTTACACAACCGGAATGGTTTTAGTGAGTCAAGATAAAGAAAGTTCATTTTTCCCTCAAGCCTTGCTAAAATTTACTGCATACCTCAAGTTTGTCTTTAATTATCTTCTTTGAAAATCTGACACAACCAGACATTTTTAGATTAAGATCAAATTTCTTTTTTCTCTTTTTCACTTGCTGCCAGTCAATTTTCCTCTGTTTTTCTTTCCAGGCAACTTAAAATTTAACTCTGAAGGGGATGATGTTCTATGGCAGTGGGACTTATTGTAGCTCCAGTGCCACACATATATCAAAAATAGAGCTGTATTGCTGTCTGTCTACATTTATAGACAATTCTCTTTAGGAGATTAGAGAAAGGACAGGGATTTTCAGGGTGCTAATGCCTCTCTGAGAGTGGTACCATTGTACAGACTTTGAACTATCCTCCCTGTTTCTCAGTCAATATAAGGCTCTGGCTCTTCCAATGACCTTCCTCCTTGAAGTCTACTGGTGCCTTATTTATACCATCTTGATTCTTAGAGAATACACAGGACCTTATATTCTGTTGTTATTTTGGAGGCCAGTTGTTTTCTTTAGAGAGTTATATATTTATTTTCCTTTCTTGCTTCTTTTCTTTCTAGGGCTCTATGGAAAATGCTCAGTTATATATTGGGGATCCTCTAAATTCACAATTTTCTATTATAATTTTTTTTTTCCATTTAAGGCTCATAGTTAAAATTTGAGCCCATTTTCAGCTGTTGATCATAGCCTAGAACACTGTTCCAAAGGTTCCTGAAATCTAATTTTAAAATCTCCTGTTAATTTGTGTTTACTTAATTACAATTTTGAATCTTTGTCCAATTTGCTTTTAAGGGAAAGGCTTCTAAAATGGCCTTAATGGGTTTTCTGTTTTTTGTTTCTGACTCTAGGAATTTTTTTTTTTTTTAAATTTTCAGATAGATAATTTAAGTCTTTTCTTTTCTAGCCTCTGGTTTTTAACCACTTTCCCCATTTCAGGGTCTAAAATTAGGTGAACCAGTTTATACAGATGCAGTCATCCAGGACAATAGTATGTAAAAAAGATCCTGTTGCAAATGTCTGTCCATCTTCCTGAAATCTAACAAAATCCTTATGTATAGCACTGCTATGAACAAAGTTTATATGTTGAAGCCCTAACCCTGAGTGCGACTATATTTGGAAACAGGGCCTGTAGGAGACAATTAAGGTACAATGAAGTCATACTGATGGGGCCCTGATCGGTAGGGTTAATGTCCTTAAGAGACAGCAGAGAGCTTGCTGTCTTGCACTTTCTTTCCCTCTCCCCACCTGCACAAAGAAGAGGTCATGTGAGTACATGGCCACCTACAAGCAAAAACAAGAGGCCTCAGAATGAAACCTACCTTGCCAGCACCTTGATCTTGGACTTCCCCAGCCTCCAGAACTGGGAGAAATAAATTTCTGTTGTTCATGAGCCACTCAGTCTACAGTAATCTGTTACAGCAGCCTGAACAGACGAAGTTCTTGATTCAGCTCTAGATCAGGTTTTAAATTCCATTCCTTCTGATCCGGCACAGTTACATGAATGTTCTTTTCCTGCGAAAACCTAAGGCAATGATAGCTCATTAGATCGGAGGAAAGAACCGAAGGACCAGAAGGGCTGTACGTGAAAAGCGTAGACAAAGCTGCGTAGATCCAAGCAGGACAGGTCTCAGAAGGTTAGAGCATCCTTGGACAAATTGTGTTTTAGGCCCCAGCACACCAAGTAAAGAAGCTGACTATTGAAAAGTTGGTGTCTTTGTCTCCTGATTTTTCTACAGTTTCTCTTAAACACATGAACTTATTGATTTTAACACAGCAAACTGTCCCTAAAACGGTCATCATTTTTTGCCACTTGCCTAAAAAAAGTACAAGAGTTAAGATCACAGTGAGATTTTATATAGGAAGAAGAATTTGTTGTAGGAGTTGGAGACTTTGATATGGACAAACCCACACAAGGAAGATGGGTCGCGATGGTCAGTCCAGCACGTGCTCATGGATGGCGTCTCAGGTTTCCTGACCAAGCAGAAGCTAAAACTCAGCTGGACAGTCAATGACCCAACAATTGTTTACCCTAAAAACATAGACTGAGCTAAGGGACCTTCTTTCACAAGTTGACAAGACAGTAAGTGACATCATGAAGGTTTTGTAGGGCACCCAAAGCTAAGTTTGACTAATTGCCTTTTCACAAATTTGTCACTAGTCTAACGGACCTCCAATCATTTGTCTTCAAGACTAGATTAAATTGGAACAGAGAGTAATCACCTTATATATTTCTCTGTCGCTTATAGAACACTCCTTTATACAATCAATAGACACAAGGAATCCAGGAAAAAACAAAGGCAATTGAAATACAACTTCACACATACACACACACACACAAAAGCAAAGCAAACAGCAAGAGAGTAAGCAAAGATATCTTCCAAATGTTTTCTCTCCAAAGCAGAAGGTCTAATGATCTTATACAAAGACCTAGATATATTATAATTACTTTAAACAAAGACTTCTATGGTTATACGTCCTAGGGTAACAAAATTTAATGTTTTAAATTAACACTGTTTTAAATTAAAACAGCACTGAGAGCTCAATGAAACTAGTAAGAACTCAGGTTGGTGTCGAGGCTGACTTAGCTGGCAGCAGGAAGGATAGGTGGAGTTTGGACAGAGAGCCCCAGTGAACACGGCTGCTGGTCTGAGGATGTCCTAGAATGCTTCTCAGTGAGGTCCTTGAAATGATCTCAGTAGAAACTCCAGAGCTGTCACAGAATGATAACACCACCCTCAATATCTGAAATGAAAAAGACAAAGCTGAACATATTGCTGTCAGCTGTGTGTTATATCCGCTGTAGGACAGCAGTGTTAGCAAGTTTGGAGCCAGGTGTGTCCATTTGGATAAATGGTCTCTGATCTTGTAGAGCCGAGGTAAAAACCCATGATTGTTGCTATGGGTTAAATGTGTGCCCCAAAAAGCATGTGTTGAAAACTTAACCCCCAATGCAACAGAGTCGAGAGGTGAGAATGAGAAGTGATTAGGCCATAAGGGTGGAGTGAATGTATTAATACTGTTACCGTGCCAGTGGGGTCATTATCTTGGGAGTGGGTTTCTTATCAAGGAATGATTCTGGCCCCCTCCTGTTCTCTCCTGCCCTCTCTTGCCCTTCCGCCTTCTGCCATAGATTGACACAACAAAAAGATCCTTGTCAGATGCCACCCCCTCGATCTTGGACTGCCCAGTCTCCAGAATTGTGACAAATAAATTAGCCAGTCTCAGCTATTATTATAGCAGAACAAAATGAACTAAGACAATTGGTTTTCAGTGTTTCTTATTGCATGAGTAATGAATACTTGTAATTGCATAATACATGCTCATTCTAGGAAACGCAGTTAAGGAAAACTAATATTAAAATAATCTATCATACCATCATCCAGAAATAACTCTGAAATATTTTGATATATACACATTCAAACTGTTAAAATATACTATGTATATTTTTAAAATGCAGGTATATCATGTATATATTTATAACCTCTTTTTATATTAAAAAGATAGTATACATTTTAGATGCCAATAATTACAGTTTTTCAAAATTGTTGTCGGTGGAACACAGGTAAGTATCTATCACCATTTACTCTCACCATCCTTCTAGTCTTGGAGTTTAGCTTCACTAAAGCTTCTCCAGCTAATTGTTTGCCAACATCCTTAATTCCTTCAGATAGACTCCATGAAGTACATTCATTAAATCAAAGAATAAACTTGTTATGAGCTTTGACTGACACCTTCTGGAAAGTCAACTTATTGCCAGCTAGTTCCCAGCCTCTGTGTTTGAGAAGAGTGAGCCCTTGTCTTGGCAGCCTAACAGGTGGGGCCTGATGTTCATGATTCATCCCAGGCTGCTGTTCTCACTGTTACATGGCAGTTTCTATGGCAACGCTGGGACCTGCCAAAAGCTGTGCTTCTCCAACCACAGTCGTGGTGAAAAAACTTTCCACACCTTTCCAACATAAAATTATTTACGTGGCAACTCTATGCCAAATAAATCCCCGTCTATTTTATTTGGAGCAAAATTCATACACATGAGAACAGCCATAATATAACTCCAATGAGAACTATTTCCTAGACATTTAAACACTCCTTCCAGAGTTGGAAATTCTAGCATGGTTAGGGTAGGGCGCTGTGCAGGTACAGCCAGGGGAGATGCTATAGCACCCAGCTATCATCCCTGGAAACCCTGTGAGACCCCAGGTGCTACACCCAGAAACTTCTGCTGCTGGGGAAGGAGCTGACTTGTGATCCTTCCCTGCTACATGGTGGGAAGTGGTAGGCCAGGAGTTTGCTTAGCAGGTCTGGGTTCCTGAGGTCACATGTTTAGGCTACCAAGCATGGATGGGTTGTAGTGAATAGCATCAGATTAGAAGCATGGTGCAGTTTCTCTTTCCTTAGCTGGGCCACCACTTTGGACCATAAAATGGGGAAAACCAGAGTGGACTAGAAGACCAGCAGGCCAGAAGGACAAGGGCTGGCTCAGAAGGGGTTGGCCAAACCAGGTATGTTTTGGGACTTCACGACTTGAACTTGAGATTGAGAAATCTTCCCCCTGAAGCTGCCCATGAGCCCCCCTGGGACGGAGGCAGATCCCTGGATTGTCAGTGAAGCCAGCAAGGGAAGCCCTGGAACCTGGGAATGGTTTTCCAGGAATGGGGAACAAGCCCTGGGAGAGGCCAATTTTGAAAAGTGGCACTATCACACTTGTTAGACAGTCACCAAAAATATTGTTCAAATCCTCGAAGAAAAGGAAAACCTATCCAAGGTCTCAAGTCTCCAAATGTGCCAAGTTAAATGTCTGAAAACTAAATTATGTGTGGAAACACAGTCAAAGGAACAGCATGTTAAATTTCTGAACACTGCTGAGGAAGGAGGAGGACGACTCCTCAGTCTGTCGGAGAAAATCAGCAAAGCTACAAATTAAATGTGTAGATTCAGTAGGTTGGATTGCAGCAAGGTTGGGTTTTCCAGGAAGCAGACCAGAGAGGGAGTTAGTGTGCAGGTTGTTTATAAGGGAATGCCATGGCCAGGCACAGTAGCTCACGCCTGTAATCCCAGCACTTTGGTAGGCTGAGGCAGGAGGATCGTTTGAGGCCAGTAGTTTGAGACCAGCCTTGGAAATGGTGAGACCTTGTCCCTACTAAAAATAAAAAAAAATTAGCCAGGTAGGTGGCATGCACCTGTAGGTCCCGGCTACTCAGGAGGCTGAGGCAGGAGGATTGCCTGAGCCCAGGAGTTCAAGGCTGCAGTGAGCTATGATCAGGCCACTGTACTCCAGCTTGGACGACAGAGCAAGATCCTGGCTCTGAAAAATAAATAAATAAACGGGAGTGCCCTGCAGAAGCAACACATGAGGAAGGGAAGGAAAGAAACAGGACTAGACAGCTTACCTCTGTCAATAGAATGACCCTTCAGTGTTGACCCCCACTGCAGTGAAATGGCACAGCCTTCATACTCCCACCTGTATCAGTCACTGGATCTGTGCCACCCTGGGGCAGAGCGACCCTGGCTGAGGTGGCTCTCTGCAAATGAATAATCCCAGAAGTGGCTGGCAGCTGAAAGTTCTGTAAACAGTCCTCCCAGAAGTCTGGGCATCTTGAAGGGGAATCTGGCCGGAACGTCTCTGGGTGCAGGGCAACCTTTTTTGGACACTTTACACTCCATACGCCTGTAATCCCAGCACTTTGGTAGGCTGAGGCAGGAGGATCGTTTGAGGCAGTAGTTTGGAACCAGCCTGTGAAATGGTGGAGACCTTGTCCCTACTAAAAATAAAAAAAAAAATTAGCAGGTAGGTGGCATGCCACCTGTA